TTATTATTATTGTTATTATTTGAGGTATCGGTATTTTTGATTATATAATTATTAATATTTTAGTCGATACACTCTTCTCATGAACATTTTTTGTCCAAGGCTGGAATTATGTATATATTATTATGTTTTTTTATGCGTTGATCCCGAAAATAAACATAAAAAAAGCTTAATATTGCTGCATTTAAAAGTTATAAACAATTTAATTTACTACAATTTAATTTAATATGCCATTTGCAATTAATATAATAATTTTTCGGAAAAAACACAGATTTACTTTTTTTGTACAACTTTTTCAACCCTTCAATTTTTGTTTGAAACTTTTTTTCATAATTTAACAAACAAACTTTTCACAGGTGTTTAAATAATTAAATTATTTATATAACTGTAATGTGAGTCATTTCATTATTTAGTCATGCTCTAATACTCCAAGTCCCTCTCTGTATTATTTGGCCGTTGAGGCTCAACTTGTCCACTATTTATTTACACTACCCCACACTTGACACCAAATGTAATGTGAGCCATTTCATTATTTAGTCATGCTCTAATACTCCAAGTCCCTCTCTGTATTATTTGGTCTTAAGGGGTTCAATTATGTACAGTTCATCAAATTTCTAGAGGCTTTCGACGGCTAGACAGAGAAAGCACTACTGAGAGGCATCGGTTGGCGGGGGCCGACGGATTTACGCAATGAAAGTACACTCTGCGCATCAAGTATTTCACTATTTTATTCAGACGTAAATGTCAGATGTAAATTTCGCTAAAACATTTCTTTTATTTTCGTTTGTGTTTTTTGCTCATTACAGTTTAATAGAACCTAAGTATGGAGTTTAATAGCAAATTAAGAGGCCGCGTGATTAACAGTCAATCTCGCGAAATAATAGCCAATGTTATAGAGTTTATGAGAAGAGAAGGAAACTTTAATTCACCTTCAATACCATTTAAAAATGTAAATGATCGTGTTGCTGCAGCCACAGGAGTATCTAAAAACACTGTCGTCCGCATTTCTGGAGAGAAAAAAGAATCGATAACCGTGAGATATCGGAATTTTCATCACCAAGAAAAACCATTAAAAAACCAAAAACAGTTAATGATATAGATGAAGCTGACAAAGGTATTTTAAAAAGAATTATTCTGTTCATGTTAATCTCGGAAAATATTGTTCCAACATTAAAAACAATTCTGACTAAATTTAGAGAAGCTACAGGGTACAAAGGAAGCTATGAAAGTTTAACAAAAATAATAAAGTCGCTAGGATTTCGTTGGCGGAAAACAAAAACAAACAGAAAAATATTAATGGAGAGGTTTGATATTCAAAAGCTACGTTTAGACTATCTGATTCGTTTAAAAAGTTATCGAGCACAGGGCCGTCCAATTGTCTACTTAGATGAAACATACATTCATGCCTCCCACACACACCAGAAAGCTTGGAGTGATAATTCAAATGAGGGATTAAAGAAACCAATTAATAAAGGTGATAGACTAATTATTGTCCGTGCAGGAGGTGAAATGGGCTTTATTCCGAATGCCCGGTTAATTTTCAAATCTGGAACCAAAAGTGGAGACTACTACGATGAAATGAATTTTAATAATTTTTCTAAATGGTTGAAAGAAAAGCTGTTTTCGAACCTCCCTCCAAGAAGCGTCATTATTGTTGATAATGCTCCTTACCATAATGTCCAAGTAAATAAAGCACCAACGTCAACTTCTAAAAAAGCTGACATGCAGGATTGGTTAAGGAATCATAATATTGCTTACGAAGAGGATATGCTCAAAACGCAATTATACAGTTTAGTGCTATTGCATAAGTCACGATTTAAGAGGTATGCAATTGAAGAAATGATAAATGAACATGGTTTTAGTTGTTTGCGTTTGCCACCGTATCATCCCGATCTTAATCCGATCGAATTAGTGTGGGCATCATTGAAACAATATGTAGCTAGTAACAACACTACATTTAAGAGGCAAGACGTACAACTGTTGTGTGAAGACTTTTTTGATACGTTTTCTAAAGAGGAGTGGCAACATCGTTGTAATAATGCTAAAATGTGGGAATCTAAATTTTATGACAGAGAAGTTACTTTGGATGAGGCAACTGATAGATTTATAATTAACTTAAACAGTGACAGTGAGACTGATTTTGAATCTGATATGGAAACTGAAGAAAGTTTTTCGGAAGACCATTAAAAATATATCTGTACCTAAGATCAAAAAAGTATTATCTATTTTTACAACGAAGATGCACAAGAATCAAATTTTATTTTTTTATTATTAGATAGCTATTTTTGTTTCTGATTTGTGTTCATTTACAGGCTCACTTTTTTTCCGTTTCTCCTTTTTGATTTTATATGGGGTTTCAAGTTGTTTTTGACTTATTTCGACGTAAATCACAACAACACACTTTTTTAATAAAGCAAACAAGTGTTAAGAGGTATATGTACGTGTAAACTACAATTACAAATGATATGAAACCCATGAAACCACCAACAAAAATGTAAAGCTAGCTTCCGTACTAGAACATGGTGTCATTCGTCGAGATAATTTATCGTTTTGTTTAATAGATCAAGAAATGTAAATATTCCCCTGTTATTTTTTATAAAATTATAAGAGAAATAAATTTTTTTCTAAATAGTATAGTTTATTATTTTGTAGAAAAACAAAATTTCGGAAATTTTAGTAATGTTTCAGAAACAACCGTTATTAATAATAGGTACCATTTTCCTTAATAAGGTAGAAATAAAATATAAACTATTTCCACGATTTACAAAGGCCTACAAAAAAATTATAGATATTTTCCGCTATCCTATAAAATTTATATTTTCTGACTCAATTTCAAAAGGTTGAAGGAATTCCAAAACACCTTTTATGGCATAATAATTATTTTCAATTCTACATACTATCTTTAGCTGCTTTTAAAAACGTTCTAAGAAAGTCCAATCAGACCAATTTAATCCCTAAACTATTCCACACTTTTAAAATTTAATTACCTAAAAATATTAAAAACTATTTAAAATAACTTGTTTAGCAGACTGTACAATAGCTATCTTAGTCACACGTAGCGCGTTCTCTGTCTGGGCGTCGAACACCTCTAGAAATTTGATGAACTGTATAATAAGCGGACAAGTTGAGCCTCAAAGGCCAAATAATACAGAGAGGGACTTGGAGTATTAGAGCATGACTAAATAATGAAATGGCTCACATTACATAACTTTTCATTACCGGCGCTTTAAGCTGCATTATGTGGATATTCGTAATCAGCGCATCAAAAAACATAATATGGACAAAAAATGTTCATGGGAAGAGTGTAAGCCTATCTTATATAATTAAAAATATCGACGACCCAAATAATAATGATATAAATCACAAACTCGTGTTGAGAAAAACAAAACTGCAACTTTTCGCAAACTTTTTGAAGACTGGCGTATTTTGCGACAGTTGGAGTCACACTCGGAAGCGGTAACATCAAAAGGGTTTGACATCGATTAACATTAAAACTACGCGAACATGTATTAACTTCCTTAGGAACGCCACAGCGACATGTTGGGGGTGTCGGACTCCCCCAAAGTTACGTGATTTTTGTCCGACAAATGTGATATCATTAATGTAATATAAAAAACGTCGATTAACTTTAAAACTACGCGTACATGTATCTACTTCCTTACGGACACCACAGCGACATGTTGGGGATATCGAACTCCCCAAAGTCACGTGATTTTTGTCCGACAAATGTAATTTCGTTAATTCTATATAAAAAAACTGTCGATTAATATTAAAACTATACTTATATGTATCAACTTCATTAAGGACGCTACAGTAACATGTTGGGGGGCGTCGGACCACGTCACAAAGCCACGTGATTTTTGTCCGACAAATGTAATATTGTTAATATTATATAAAAAACCGTCAATTAATATTAAAACTATACGTACATATATAAACTTCCTTAGGGACGCTACAGTGACATGTTGGGGGCGTCGGACCCCCCAAAGCCACATGATGTGATATTGTTAATGTAATATGAATGAAACAGAATGATACATACTTTGACCAGACACAACCATCTGGCAATTTGTTAACATGTTAAAAATTTTAATCTGGCAAATATATCAGGGACTGATTATTTAAAAAAAAGTCAATTTTCTCATCCAACAACAATTGTTGGACTCCCGGTACGCCGAGCATTGGATAATGCGATCTATCTATCATACCGTAGGAACGCGGTGCATCGCAATGCATTTCTATGAAAAAACATGCATTGCAATTTACAAAGTGCAGTCGTTTTATGGTACTTACTTACTTATTTCTCGGTTGTGTCATGTTACTGATGTTAAAAGTACGATTACCTCTAGATCAGTGCCGCGGTTAAAGGGTCTGCGGGTCGTTGATTCCGTGCGAAAAATAAAAAATGATGTATACTGAAGAAAATCGGTTTTTCGAGAAGGAGAATGTATATGATTAAAATTTTTAACAAAAAAGAAATTAATGAAAACTGAATACATCAGCTTTGTTTTTATTTTTTCTATTTTGTATTTTTTTATATGCAGCATTAAATAGATTGTTATAATATAATATAATATATATTTTTTTCCAATAATCTTTCACTCCTTGTATAACCAGACGATTTTAGATGTAGGTAAATTGTTTTCCAACCTACTGAAGTATTTGGCATAATATTTTTATTATAAATGGGCCAGGGACGTAGCATAAGATTCAACCCTCGTAAAACAAGTAATTTACTTTTTTAATTAAAATCCTAGAAAGAAAATAATCGGCATGGCATCTCTTCTTTCCAGTCCAAAATGAAAGTAAACATGCAGAACACCGACCGGAAACAATCATAGAGAGCAGAGCACGTTTTTGTTGGAGTTGGATGCGAGCCAGTTGGCGACATACCTCGTCCATACCTCCCGTTTTACGTACATCAAGCACATTCCTGAGGTATATACAAGATTAAATTGCGACAATTTATTTTATTTCGTATCAAATAAAACCACTAATATTTTCTACCGTGATTTTATTAATTAATCTTATGTACTGAGCGTTTTTAAACTAAGGGAACACAATTTGTTTGAGAAGTGTTGATTTTAAATAAGTTTTTCAAGTAACATTGTTAAAAAAACATACTTTACTCTAACCAAATTCATATTTTTGTATTTCCCTCGTAAACGGTACACGCTTTTAATATTTATGAAGTTTTTTAACTTTTATAGGATAAGATTTTCTTCTTTTTTCCACTTCTTGTTATTTAAATCGGCCTTTTATTGGTATGGTGAAAGTATCAGGAGCACTGACATTGGAAAGTTCTTTTTATTACTTCCATTTGTAGTACTTTGCTACAAACTTCACTATACTTCCAAACCAAAAAAATACCTACATTGTTTGATTTCAAAAACAAGTCATTACATTCAAAATATATAAACCTAGATAAAATTATTACTAAAATTATTGAATCTCACTTCGATTTTACATGATCTCCCTCGCTCTCGCTACCAGACCTGATATCTTTATTCATTTTACCAGGTATAAAAGAGATCATGATGAATTTGCCCAGCAAACATGTCCAAAAGCAATGCAGAATCAACAGCATGATCAAAAGACTGTTAAAAGTGTAATAAGCAGCTGGCGAAGCACCGCTCTCGTCCACAATACAGTCCCAAATAATCCAAAGAGGATAAATACCTAGCCTGGTGACCAACCAAGATACAGCGAACATTCCGAAGCAGATATCTCGAAGTTTGTTCAATTTGGCGTAGTGAGTAACTTTAGCAGCTTCAAGGAATATGTCGGAGAAGTCGTGAACTAGTAGAACCAAGGTACCGATACGTATAAACCTGAATATCCAAGACAAAGACATTAGCACTATGGTGATGACATGGTGCGCAAACATCTCCCAAAAATCTTTACGTTTAACATCAAAAAACTGGGTTACTAATAAAGACCAGTAGAACGATAGAGGTACCATATAATACAGCCAAATATCAGTTGTAACAATCTGGTTATGGATATCATCCCAACATTTACTAATATCCCAAAACCACGGTTTGTTCCACATCACCACAAATCCATAACTGAAAATCATAGTGTAGTATAACAATTTCCAGCAATTTTCACAAAACTTATCCAATTTGGAATGTTTTTTTATGCTGTTTTTACGTAATCTCAACCATCTTTCGACATCCCTTTCTGACATGTTTGATTTGATGCTGATTTGCAGTATCTGCTTCCTGTTCCAATCTTCTGATGCTTTAAATGCATTTTCTAGCACTTGGTTCTTCGTTACTGGTAATGGTTTGATACCCAGACGTTTTGCTAATGGTGTGAGGATGTATTTCTCGAATAAGTACCGTAAAAGTCCCATTACCAGTGCCATTGGAAGTGGGTATAGTATTTGCAGATCGTGCTGAACGAGAGACATTTTAAATACTACGAAATTGGAGAAATGTTGACAGAAAATAATATTATCAAAATTGTTTTGGTTGTCAATCATAGAAAGAGATTACGATGATGTCAGTTAGCTTAAAATAAAACTTGGTAGATGTCGTTTTAGAGAGAGAATCACAGATTTGGATAGAGGAGATAGAAAATGTGATTTTCATCAGGCACGTAGAATTGAAGGCGGCCATTTTCTAAAAAATAGTGATCTACGCACTTGCGCATTGATTGCATATTGAAGTGTACAGGATAGGACTAATACATTTAAACATAATTCGAAAATATTAAGGATAGAACTAATAACCATAAAAATTCGTAATAGAATTTTTATGGATTTTAAGAGATTTCTAAAAATAAAAAACATAGTCTTTTTTGAAACTTTATTTAAAATTGACAAGGGGGGTAGCCATGTGTGAGTTGAAGTAATTTTAAGGTGAAGGGGGGAGAAAAAGTCCTTTATATCTCACAAGGAAAGTCAATGTTTAATTATTCAACAAAACATTGAGTGCGACCGGTTTCGAAGTAACATCACTTCATCTTCAGGCTCGCCTAGTGGAAAGGAGAATATGTGGTGTAAGGTGTGTTGACTTTGAGCCCACAATATATAAAATAGTAAAAAATAGAAAAACTCACCATACTCTCCATCCACTAGGGAATACTACAGACAAGTTTCATCAAAACGTGGGGGATGAAATAAATTGTAAAACAAAACAATGTTACAAGTTATAAAAGTTAAAAATATTTGAAAAACAAATATTAGTCGATATAAACAGTTAAAAATTTTAAAATATTCAAGACGATACAAAAACAAATTACATACATTAAACAGATTGAAAGATAAGGCCTATTTTAAGCAAACATTGCTGTTTTTTATAAAAATCTAACATTTTTGAAAGGAGACCTGTCAAGTTAAGGCCTCTACAGGTGGTGGTAAGTACTAAAGAAAAATTCTTGGATAAACTTATGACAGGGTATAGGTAATAAGATGTAAACTATGAGTGAAGAAATATTTATTATTTATTATATAAGATTTGGGCCATGAACCAATCACCAAGTGTATGTGATGTTGTAGGATAAAATAAGAAAGAAGAAGAAATGACTGGGTTAACTGTTGTGAAGCAACTGAAAAATAAAAGAAGAAGAAAAGAAGAAAATGACAGATGTGAAAACACACAACTTAACCTAGTCCTTAAACATGCACGTTGGTTTTTTGTGGGAAAAAATTACTTACTGAAATGTACCCCTTGCAATGAAATATGTGAATAGAAATAAAGGGGGAGGTTAAAAAGGAAGTTAGAACGATAAATTTAGATTAGTGTTGAGAAAACTGGAGGAGTTTCTGACATTATCTGGGCATTTAAGCAACCAACAGGATTTAATTTTAAATTTCTCAATATCTCGAGGCTTTCGAAGCTATTAAGAGTAAATCTATGGTAGGAACTATGTAGGATTTCGAAACCTTCAGTTGAATCGAAGTCGTGATTTGAGTCCAGTAGGTGGTTGGCAAAATGTGAAAATCCTGTTGTATTTTGGTTAAGACAACGCAAATGTTCTTTTAAACGGATCTTGAAATTTCGAAATGTGCGTCCCACATAGAAAGAATGGCAAGATTTACAAGTCAATTTATAAATTCCAGACAAGTCAAAGGGATCTAATTTATCTTTATTATGAACAAATAACTTATGTAATGAGGAGGGGGTTTTGAAAGATACTTTAAAGTGGTCTTTAAGTAAGCTTGCCACTTTATAGGATGCTTTTCCAATAAAGGTAAGAGAAATGTATTTCTTACGGGTGGTTAGTTCATGTACCAAATTAGGATTATTAACATAAACCAAGTTTTGTTGAATTTTATTTTGTTTATGTGTTAGCATTTTATCAATAATATCCAGTTCAAAGTTGTGATCTATAGCAATAGTTTTAATTATATTTAGTTCCTTATTAAAGTTTTCCGTAGACAGAGGGATGTTTAATAGCCTCTCTAAGTAGCAATTAAAGGCAGCCAATTTATGTGTTGCTGGATGGTTAGAGGTATTGTCTATAACTGTGCCTGTATGTGTTGGCTTTCTATAGATGTCAAAGTTGAACTTGTTATTATTGTGTGAGATTTTAAGATCTAAAAAGTTAATAGATTTGTTTATTTCAATTTCTAATGTGAATTTAATATTAGAATGTAAGTCATTAATATAAGTCAAGAAGTCATTTAATGAGTCTAAGTTACCTGACCACAAAATCAAAATATCATCAACATATCTATAATAGAATTTCACATTTGAGTGGAAAAGGTTATTTTTAAGGATTTTCTCTTTTTCAAAATTGTGCATAAATATGTCTGCTAAAAGTGGAGATCCCATAGAAAGTCCATTTGTTTGTGAAAAAATTTCATTGTTGAATATGGTGAGTTTTTCTATTTTTTACTATTTTATATATTGTGGGCTCAAAGTCAACACACCTTACACCACATATTCTCCTTTCCACTAGGCGAGCCTGAAGATGAAGTGATGTTACTTCGAAACCGGTCGCACTCAATGTTTTGTTGAATAATTAAACATTGACTTTCCTTGTGAGATATAAAGGACTTTTTCTCCCCCCTTCACCTTAAAATTATTTAAAATTAAATAAAAACAAAAGATATTTAAAATACCATTTTATATAAAAAGAATACAACAATCCAAGGCCGTAATATATTTTATAGTAATTAAATTTTTTGTGCATGTTAACGTACCACAACTTTTCCTTTTATATTTTTTGTTTTCTTAAATTCTAATTAAAAATATATTTTTTTTTTATTTTAAAATTTGATATCTGATGGTTGCACTTTAGGTTTTAAACTACGCATTTTTTATGAAAAAACTGTTTTATTATTGTTGCATTTACCAATGAATCGCTATATATAAAATAATATGAAACATACTGCTAACAGAAAGCAGCGCAAATACCATATATATTAGGATTAGTTGGATTACATTATAAATGCGTTAGTTGTCTTGATTAGCAACGATTTTTAAAAGAGAATAAAGAGAAATTACAATTGAGCAAATAAATTACAAAATAAACGCTTTTCGCAACCTTTTACAGCCTTTAACAAGCCTTTAATTTATAACCATTATTAAAAAAATAATAACGACATGCCAATGAAAGGAACAGTCATCATAAAAACGGAGCAGTACCGATTATAATCACTAATCACAATCGATTTCATTGAAAAATATCTCCAACCTGTTTACTGTTAACTGTTAACCAATAATAAGCGATTTAACAGTTTGATTTCAAATGAGCGGTAATCAGTAATAATGGGTGTCTAGTAGTTCACGTGGGTTGATGGAAATGACTCAAGGTCTATATGAAGTGCCAATATTTTTATCTGTAACCATTTAAAAAGTCATTTTAAAACGTCAATGTTACATACATATAAATATTTATACCAAGTAAGGTCTTATCATATCATTTAGTAATGTCAAGTCATCCTTGCACCCTAAAAAAGTACCAATGAAAAAATTATTCCTCCAATGCAACCAAACAGTTATTTTTAGGATAAGATTTTGTGTCAAATGTTATCCACAGCCACAGGGTTTCTTTTTAAATGGCATGACATTCAAAATTTTGGTCAAAACAATTTTCATCATGCACTTTTCTTGGAAATTCACAATGCTTTATTAGGATTAAAAACACCAGTTTCTGGAAACTTTTTCACTATAACACTAACATTACTGATCAGAAAAAGTGGTTAAAGTTTTCTTTTTGTAATCACAAATCGCAACTGAATGCCTATTTTTAAAATAAATTATCACTAGTAATACCACTAGAGGTCAAAAAATTTCCTGATATTAATTTGACCTCGCGTGGTATTCGGTAAGAAAATTCCACGCCGAATTATGGTTGAAAATTAAATATTTTTAAAATTTATTTTTCGTTTCTCAACAATGCAAATTATTTTCTCCAAGTCACCAGTGAAACATAAAAGGTGTTGTCGCCTTGATTGTTGAGTTGTCATGGTAACTAAGTGAGACCCTAACCTCGAATATAATTTCAGTTTTGAAGTTGTCAAGCGGCCCGACGTAAAAAAATGTTTCGCTTCGGTCAAGAAAGCAAAGAAAATATTCGTCAGGAGATTGAGCAGTTGACACCCGCGAATACAAGAAAATCGAAGTCAAGCGTATGGAGGCAGTTTACAAACTTTTGCGCAGAAAAATCATATAATTTCGATAGAGCGGATATACCTGTGGAAGAACTGGCGCTTATTCTTGAAGATTATGGGTTCAACATGCGAAAAAAGAATTCTGAAGATTACAAGGAGAGTGTCATCAAAGTTTTATGGAATTCCACAGCTAAGCAGTTGCAGGAATATTTTTTTGAAAAATATAATCGAAAATTCAATCCATTCTCTGACATAGAATTTTTGAACGCAAGAGCTGCAAAAAATGCTAAGCGCCGGAAGCTACAAATGGACCCAAGCAAGAGAAAGGAAAGTTCATCTGCACTATCAACAGACGAGCTGAGAAAAATCATTGAGATTTGGGACGAAAACACTCCGGAAGGACTGCAGAAAAAGTTTTTTTACGTTGTTGCTCATGAATTGGCCTGGAGAGGAAATGAAGGAGCGGCAGCACAACTAGAATATTTTGTGGAGGAATTTGACAATAGAGGAGAACCAACAGGCCGCATTGAGTATAACCCGGTTTTCTCCAAGAACACCCAAGGCGGTTCAAAGAAATTAGCTGACAGTAAGTGATTAGTACCGAATACACTCAACGAAGAAATATGCCCCGTGAGACTGTTCAAAAAACTAACAAGCAAGCGAGGTCCTATCAAAACGAAGCGTCTATTTTTAACGCCGAATCCAAACTGGGAGAATCCCAGTTCCAAAGGCTGGTACAAAAACAGTCCAGTTGGACAGAATACAATATCTTCCTGGTTCAAATCCGCTGCATCATTGATTGGAATTGATGTTAAAAAGATCAAAATAACTAATCATTCTGCAAGGGCTACTGCTGTTTCAACTTTAGCCAAAACTGGAATTGGAGAACAGCAATTGATTAAAATAACCGGTCATGGTAGCAGTCACTCAATAAAACCATATCTGCAAATAGATTCGGCACATCATCAGGAAATAATTGATGCAATGAGGTCTGCTTCAACTTCGGCAAAGACGATTCAAGAATCTCTGAATCAAGAACCAGCAACTACTTCCAAGCAACCTTCCATAGTTTATAATAATTGCGTTTTCCACATAAATAATAATTACAATAGTCCAAATAATATAAATAATTAGATTTAAGTGTTATCAATTTTAACCGTATTCATATTATAAAATAAAAAACTAAAATTCTATTTTGTTATATTATTTTTCAACTCCTGGAAACCCAGCTAGGCAAATACAAATTTCGATAACATCCTCTAGGTCTATGGTTAAAAACCTGCGATAATTCTGAAATTTTTACTCATTGTAGTTGCATGAAAATGGCAACCTAAAGCGTAACATAATATATTTTTCTATTTTATATCAATTTTGGATTACTACAAGTGTTAGAAAGTTATAATTTTATCAAATTTAATTTAATGTGATTTGCAATTTCGGTAATGGTTTCTCAGCCTGCCCTTTAATCAAGGTACATTGTTTTCTACTCATTGTAGTTACACAGTACTGCAGTTTTATGATGAAATATATTACATTCTCTGATTTTTTATTTACTTCGGGCTACTACAAGTGGTAGAAAATGAAAAAAATATTATTTTTGTATAGATACATACGTACAGGAACAGTTTTTAGGTACATAATAATATTCAGTTTGTCTTTACACCAATGGACCCTATAAACTGTTGATTTCTACCGATTGTAGTACCTCAAAAGTGCCATTTAGGAACGAAAAATGTAATATTCTTTTATTTTATAGTTACATCAGCTTACTACAAGTGGTAGAAAATTATAATTTTAGAGGTTTTTCGGAAAGCTGCATGAAGATTCACAACGCGTCATAGCTTTGGCTGCAATTATTTAGGCCTTCAAATTGCTTATTCTACTCATTGTAGTTGCATGGGAATACCATTTGAAAATAGAAAATAGTATATTCTTTAGTTTTGAATAACTACAAGTGGTAGAAAATTGTTTTTCTGCGTTTTTATTAACATGCGTTATGAGCGCTTTAAAATGGTATGAAATTCATAACCAGCGTCAGCAAGCATAAATCGTAGGAGGCTGTGATCATTGTATTTTGACAGTTCAAAACATTAAATAACTCGCGTTTTGTTGCGATAAAGAATATTGCACAGCAAGTAAAACCAACAAAATTACCTATTTGTTTGAAAATGAATCGATTTGAAAATCATACGCTATGCAAAATATGCGTGAAATTGTTTGATGTAATGATCAATCATTGCACCATGACTTACTTACTCGGATTAATAGAGGATTGTGGCTCCAACTTGAGAAACGAAAATTTGTTCCGAATTGTCCACGAATATTTGCACCTAAACTACGCAAAATTCAAAGTGCTGAATGGGAAAAAGGTGAATAAATTAGTGTCTTAAATATTATATATATATTTTATTAGACATAGACACATAATTCAAAGCATCCAAAGTCCTGCATTTTCGCCATTAAGAAGAAAAGAAGTGGCCGAAGAATATAGAAAACACCTTAGCATTGTAACTAAAATGAATCAAAACTAAACCTATTATGTGAACAAATAAAAACCAGTCTGTCAAAAATGGTCTGTTATTGTAAACGTCAAAAAATTTCCAGTATAATTCGCTGTTGGGTACCCCACGAGAAAAAAAATTTCCACTAAAATACCTCCGTTGTCATGGTGATCTGTCAAAAACACGTATTTTGATTGGTTCAAAATTACAGGTGTGGAATTTTCTCTATAATTCCATTTGTATAGTTGTATGCTGTGCATCTGTGAGATTGTTTATTATACATAGGTACCAATTATAGAAATCTTTAGTAAGTACTTGCTTGCAATTTTAGTAATATATGTACCTATCCTATATATTTAATTATTTCAAACAAATAAAACCAACAACTATTATCTGAGTCTTTTTAGTTCCGATTGGTTTTGACAGAGTAGTTTTGATCATGGTTTTCTTCCATCTACTTTTAACCATAAAGTCATACCTAGCTGAATTTTTGGTCTTTTTAAACTTTTTACTGTAGCGGGTCATATTTTTAATGTATGTCATCTGCAGCAGAAAGACCTACATGTTTTACATTTAAAAGTAATTAATTGTCCTTTCTACAAACTCGGCTGTATTTTTACTGAAATATATTTATTCACAATTCACGTAGTGGTTTGGTTTTTGGTTTGGTATTTTGATGTTATAATTCTCCTCATTGTCAGATTTTGACATTGGCAGCTTTGATCAAGACAAGAAAGTCCTTGAACGAAAAATCGTAGTTCGGGTTTTAGTTTTAAAGCACAAAGAGATTAACAAATCTGATGCACAGTGTTATTCGAACGTTGATTTTCGATCACACGGGTCATATATCGGACGGTTTCGGCGAAGACAGAACACTATAATAATAATAATCTCTTTTATGGTCTTGGCATTGGCTTGGTCGGAAAACGGTTAATAAATAATAGTAAATAGTGTAGAAGTCATAATTGGGCAATGCCATCAAATTAATTTCGAATCGATCATGTTGAAACAAATCTTAGGTAAGTAAGTCATTTAAAAGTTGTAATTCTGCATACGGACTTTAATTATATTTTAATACGACCCTGCTTAGTCAACCATTTAAGCCACGCCCAGTGGGGTCATTTTTAATAAAACGTATCATACGCAAAACAATTGCCTTATGGCATCTCCATTAGTATTATACATCCATGCGCGTGAATTAGAGAAACACCATTAGTCAGCGACTTATGGGGTTTCTTAATTAAATCAGATTTGGACATTTGAAAATTTAATACAAGGAGTGCTACTACTAATTCTATTTCTCGCTGGAATGAGCACCGAAGTGTTAGCTATAAGATATGGAGGGTAGATAAGATCTGCCATTTTTGGAATATGTCAAATTTGTGACTTACGGGCTTTCTCAAATGACCGATTCACTTGTCCTGTGACGAAGATTACATAACAACTTCGAGAAATTCTATACGATCCAGTATCGGCTTTAGGTTTTTGTATGTTTTAATTCAAATATATTTTGTTCCGTATTTTGATTTAAATGTATTATGTTGAATATTTTTCAACACACTGTGCACAGATAAACAAATTTTGAAATGCGAAAAAACAATGCTTTATTGGCTTTATATTAAATAATTTGACAGCAGTTATCAAAGAAACATCCCTACTGACAATGGTTCCCGAAAACATCGATATCAAACCAATGGATCTCTTCTACATCATTCCAATGGTAATCGCCTTGCTTACAGCCAAATTTATTTTCCAAAAAACCGTTTATTTCCTACTGGAAACTTGTCAAAATATCAATTTTCTTCCACCTAGTAATCCATCCAGAATCCTAGAAACTACTTATTTGAAATCAAAGAAATTGAACCAACGAGACCCCCAAGAATGCCTCAATCGACGGTATAACGAAGGAGAAGAATATTTGAATAATCTTTGTGAAAATGTATTTCAATATTTATATTACGTCCTTATATTCACTTACGGTATAGCCGTATTGTGGAACAAACCATGGTTGTGGAATATATCAAAATGTTGGGAGGATTTCGATCACCAAAAAACAAGCGTGGATATCTGGTGGTACTACATGATATCGCAAACTTTTTACTATTCAAATTTCGTAACTCATATGTATGAAGCACCGAAAAAACATTTTTACTTTATACTTGTTCATGATGTCATCACAATTTTAATTCTAACTTTATCCTGGTGCTACAGGTTCGTCAGAATTGGTGCAGTAGGAATGATGGTACACGACATCTCCAATGTCTTTCTCCAAGCGTCTAAAATAGCGTTCGCGCTAAGAAAGGAGATGGCGCATGCGTGTTCTTTCGTTGTTTTCTCTTTGGTGTGGCTAGTGACAAGGATGGGAGTGTTTCCTTTGTGGATCATACGGAATTGCCTGAGTGTTCAAGTTGAATTTGGGTTTAGGCATTACGGGAGTATTTTGTTGATCGGTTTGTTATTCATTCTGTTCGGGTTGCATTGTTTTTCTACTTGTATGATTTTTAGGATTTTTAGTAATGCTGGTAAATTAGTAAATGCCAAAACAGATGTCTAATGTAGCTACAATAATATATTATAAGTAAAAAATACTTTTTTACTATTATTTTTAATTTTAAATGATCAAATTTGGTTATAAGTTAGTGTGCGGGTTTTTTTTTTTAGATCCAATATTCGATGTACATTAAGAGGGGGCTACCAGCAGGACTTCGTCTACAATTAAAAAAGCTTCATAACTTTTTTGTACCTCGGTATATTCCTTTTTCCTGGAGCACACTGTATAATTGAAATTATTTTATATGGGACCACCCCTGAGGTACCGCCTTACTAACAAAAAAAGAATCATATAAATCGGATAAGGTGGTAAAGCATTATCGCTAAACATACATAAAAAATGAAGAGTTTGAGGATTTTCTCATGGACCCAATTATTAGATTTTGACTAAATTTATATGGGACCACCCCTGAAGTACCCCCTTTCTAACAAAAAAAGAATCATTGAAATCGGACACCGTGTTAAAGAATAATCGCTGAACATATATAAAAAAAAAAAAATAGTAAAAGATCTTTACAAAAACATACCACATATTCCTTAGAACAAAATAAGTCGATTTAAGTAAAATTAATAATTGCACCTTTAAAAATTCTACGCCAATGGAAGAAAAGGAGTTTGATTATGAAATTTAGATTGCGCAACTCATTTACTTTAAAAAAGGTACTCTTGATAAGACTCGATTACTCTCATGGTTTTGACGAAATTTGCATTTTAGTAATTTTAGAACATAAACAATAATTATTAAAATACAAACTTTGTCAAAACCATGAGAGTAAATCGAGTGTTATCAAGGGTACTTTTTTGTAGTAAATGAGTACCCAATCCAAATTTCATACTCAAACCCCTTTTTGCCATTGGCGTTGAATTTTTAAAGGTGCAATTATTTAAAAAATCAAGTTCTACGCCTATGTATTATTATCAGACAAAATTTTATACGATGAAAAACATAAAAATGTACTTTTTTCATATCTTCTTCAACACCTCTAATCGAGACTTTTAACAAAAATACTCGATTCTTGCCATGTACGATTTTTTGAGGAATATTAATTATTATTTGCCTGCAATACACAAAAACATTTATTATTGGTTTCCATATTTTCATCTAAATAAAAATATTGTCAAGTTTTAACACTTAATCTCTTGTTAACGATTAAGAGTGTTCTATCTGACTCAATAATTAAAAAACAAATGCGTGGTTTATTAATATGGCTGTACAATATACCAATGCAGAATATACCGATATGTTACTGACATTAGGATTTTGTGAAGGAAATGCTCGAGAGAGTGTCAGGGTGTACTCTGGAAGGTTTCCAAATCGTCGTGTACCTAGCCACCCAACTTTTGCTGCTGTTGAGAGACGTCTTCGGGAGACCGGTTCCTTTGCTCCCAACACTGTTGATAATGGAAGAGAACGTTTTGTAAGGATTCCTGAAGTTGAAGAAGACATTTTAGAATGTGTTGAAGAAGATCCAGAATTAAGCACCAGACGAATTGGAAGGGAACTAGGAGTAAGTAAAGATGTCGTTCATAAAGTGCTTAGAGAACAATTGCTATATAATAATAATAATAATAATAATAATCGTCTTTATTTCCATTAATTTAAAGTAAATACAATAAAATAATACATATATACACGGGCGAAGTTTATTTTTGGTTGTGCACTAGACACAACAAAAAATATTCTTCCACTTAACCCGCGAGTAAACCTGCATATAACCATAGAACAATAGAGCAGAAATAAACAATCAAAGACAAAATATGTATATACCATAATAACTATATCAAATAAATAAACAACTGTAATTTTAACATTTAACAAACAAATGAAAATGCACTTGTCTCAGGAAGGTTGAATCCAATGAAAAAAAAAAACAACATAACTAAGTAGGGCAAAAAAAATATCAAAAACAACGACCAATGAAAGAGGGAAGTACAAATACGTAGCGATACAATAAACAACAATATGTATGCAGTGAGGAAAATTGTTACTTAAATTTGATTTTCAAAAATGTGTATTTTAAGGGCTGTCTTAAATTTAAAAATACTATAATTCTTGAATTCTGGTAATATTTTATTATAAAAGTAAGAGATGAGGTAACTAAATGATCGTCTGAAAAGTTCCGTCGTAAAAAGGGGAACAGTCAGTAATCCTCTGTTCCTTATATTTATATTATGGACATCTGAACGGTAGCTAATTTTGCGATGTAGGTAAGAGGGCTTCTTGTTCACAAGTAGCTTATGACATAAAGTGAGAAAGTGATGCTTTCTTCTGTTCTCCATATTTAACCAACGTATTTCTTTTAATTTATGAGATATTCTTTGATGTCTTCGTATACCAAAAATCATACGTAAACAAGAATTTTGCACTCTTTGCACTTTATTTTTGTAATTAAGAGTTAAATTGGGCCCATACAATACATCTGCATAATTAAATAAGGATAGTACTAGTGTATCACAGAGCTGTTTTTTAATGTGAATAGGAAATAAATGACGATTCCCATAAATCATCTTAATATTATAGTAAGCGCGTTGCAATAACTTATTTACATGCCTCTCAAATCTTAGTTCCGAGTCCAGAAAAACACCTAAGTTTTTTGCTTCATTTACTACTTCTAATTCATTATTATTAATAACAATATTTATCGAATTTAGCAGTTGTTGCCTATAATTTTTGTTACCAAATATCATAACTTTGGACTTTGTTGTATTAATAAGCAGACAATGATCAGTTGCACAATCGATAAATCTTTTTAAATCCTCATTTATAACAATACAAGCGTTTTCCAGTTCATGTGACTTAAAACTATAATAAAATTGAGTGTCGTCAGCGTACAAGTGGACACTGCAGTTTTGTATTTTATCCAAAAGATGAGAAGTATAGATACTAAATAATATTGGTCCCAGTATGGAGCCTTGTGGAACACCTGATCTTAATGATAGATAGTCTGAAGTAACCCCTTTAATAAATACTTGCTGCTGTCTATACTTTAGGTAGTTTCCCACTAAAGAAGCAGCATTATTCGAAAAACCTATATAATTTAGCATATTAATCATTAAATCATGATTTATGGTATCGAATGCTCGACTGAAGTCTAACAAAACTAGTATTGTGCATTTTCCACCATCTGTAGCTTTTAAAATGTCATCTGTAATATGGAGTAACGCAGTAGTGCAACTAAAACCTTTACGGAAACCTGACTGGATGGAGGGAAGTAATGAATGTTCATGTAAGTAATATTTAATTTGTGTTTCCAGGGCTCTTTCTAAAATTTTTGATAGAGTAGGTAGAATACTTATCGGGCGTAAATCTTTGAATTCGGTTGGGTCTGTTTTTTTTGGTAAAACTTTTACAATAGCTTTCCTCCACGCAGTCGGAATGACACATTCAGTTATACAAAAATTTATTATGTGGGTAATGTATGGTATTATATGTGGACAACATAATTTAATTAAATTTGCATTTAACCCATCACATCCTACAGCATTTGTTTTGATGTCACAAATTGTTTTATAGACAAATAGGTCATTAACTTCATGAAAAATGAAATTAGAATCAACTAGTTTATTAGATTTATAGAAATTTTTAATATCTTCAGATGGTTCCGTCTGTGGAATGGACTCAATAAAAAACCTATTTAATTCATTTGAGTTACAAAGATTGTCTGGCATATCAAACTTTTTATCAGGTAAAAATTTATTAGATCTAAGAGTCTGCCACATTTCTCTTGGAGTATTATTATTAAATTGATGCATAAAATAAGCTCTTTTTTCTCTTTTGATAGACTGAAATGTAAAATTCCGTAAAGTTTTATAGGTTTGAAAATCACCTTGCGATTTAGTTCGCTTGTACTTATTAAGAGCCTTGTCTCTTTCAGCCATCATCATTTTAATTGGAAAAGTTAACCAAGGCGCTTTTGGCTTTGTAACTCTTGAAGTGACAAGTGGTGCATGTCTATCGAACAAATTATTAAGACAGTTTACTAAATATGAAACTTTGTCGTCTATTGATTCCTGATCATATATTCTAAAAAATGACGAATTAAAGAGATCACGTTGGAAATTTACTTCATTAAAATTTTTAAAATTTCTATAAGTAATAAATTTTGGGCCTATTTTCTTATCTGTTTTAAACGTGCAATATATCATTGAATGGTCCGAAATTATTTTGTCAATCACACCCTTATCACACTGGAAACCCTCGGGAACAATTAAATAATCTAAAAGAGTAGCAGATGTTGCGGTAATTCTAGTAGGTTCATCAATTATTTGACACAAATTAAGTGATTCTAAAACAGATTTAAATTTTTTTACATTTATATTTTCAAAGTCCAATAAATTTAAATTAAAATCCCCCATACAAATAATATCAACATCAGTGGCGTAAATAGAAACAAGACTATCTTCAAACTCGTCTAGAAAAACGCTTGTATTTTGATCATGAGGTTTATAAATAACACCTATCGCAAATGATTTTTTATTTAACGTTACTTTAATCCACAGTTGTTCCCAATTATAATCTTGTCTAGTAATAACTATCTCACTACGTATTGTACTCCTAACAAAAATGCACAACCCTTTACCATTACAGTTTCTGTTATCCATACCATAAGAAGCCAGTACAAGAATTATTAGTACATGATCCTCAAATTCGTTTGGGTTTTTGTCGATTTGTTACTATGCAAAGAGAAAGAGATCCAAACTTTGTCAAGAAGGTTCTCTTTACCGATGAAGCAGGTTTTACAAGAAGAGGGATAACTAATACCCATAATGAACATGTTTATGCCGTTGAAAATCCGCATGCAATAAAGGTAAACCATTTTCAGCACGAATTCAAAATTAATGTGTGGGCTGGAATAATTGGTGATTTCATTGTTGGTTCTGTCATACTTCCACGAAGATTAACTGGAGAAAATTATTTGGATTTTCTACAAAATACGTTGCCAGAATTGTTAGAAGATCTACCTCTCCAACTTCGGAGAGATATGTGGTTTATGCAAGATGGAGCTCTA